GACAATTTATAGATACATAATGCAACTGAATACTTATTCCTTTTCTTCATATAGATTCTTATTTCTTTATACATGTTTGGTTTGTTGAGAATGTACTGCACAAGATACAGGCTTATGCAAATACAAGCAGGCATTTCACATGAAGAAAATGTTTCCCACAGAAGTCAGTGCTTGCATTCAGTTATTTGCAAGAAAATTTACCACTGAAACTTGATAATGCCACATGTATTGCTCAATGATATTTGATAAGAGTACTGAGAAACTTCAGCTCTTAGCATCCGAAGCTTAGGCCGCATATGGCCCCCAGTGCAAAGCTTGTGCAACCTATGGAATACAGAATGCTTCCTGCTTTTTCCAGCAATTCCTGGTAAGCTGACAGTCCAAATCAAATCAAACCTGATTCTGCTGCTCCCAAAAAGAGAACCTTAAAACTTAAGCCACACTTTTAAACACTCGTACATTATCTTTGAAATAAACTGATTTCTTGATGATAATTTACTGGTCTTACAAAAATTTGTATATGGTGGTACTTCATTAATTTTAACTCATTTTAACTCTTAATCATTACAATACATAAGAGTGCAAATGAAGATATTGAAAATGTGTAAATATAACCCGCTCATTAATCATGTATTTACTTACATTGATAATTCTAGTCTGGTTAGTGAAATACTTGTCCAAGATTCTGAAATGAGTCATCAATCACCACTACTTAGTCGTCTATTCCCATCTTTTATCACAACCAACCGAAGAGTCATCTCAGAGTTAATGAGTTATGCTGGATGTTTCTCTCATGACAAGCTTGGTATAGTTGCATTTTATCACTGTCATCACTTTAGGATGAACTTGTAAAAACCCACCACTTACAGAATATCATTAAATACAGAACCATCTTTACACCAAATAAGCCCATCTTACTATGTTGTTGAAGGTGTGACCTGACTTTCAAGATGATAGTTTTTTTCCCACTTGAAAATAAAAATTCTTGATAAACAGTAATGTACCTAGTCTCAAGTTTCATGCTTGCAGGAAATTAACTGCTCTAATTTTCAATTCTCCCATATTCCTGTTGACAGTGTTGTTCCTTTTTTAGGATCTTTCCCCTCTATATTGGCACTCAAACTTTTCTTAACTCTTTTTTTATTTCCAGCCATTATTTCTTTACTGAATCTAATGACTTCTTCTTCTCATAGTCTAGGGACTTTAAACATCCACTTTCTCTCTTCAAGAGGAATAAGACAACCAGACTGAAAGAGCCTTATTTTACATCCTTCCTCCCTTCCACTTCTGAAGGCCAATCCTTTCTATATTCACCCCAGAGAACTAAAATACTCTTGCAAACTCATATTCTCATTAAAACATTTTGAATGAAGGTAAAACACATGTAAATCAGTACTCGCACAACATCGATGCTTCTTTAGTCTCCACAATTATTTCCTTCATCCCAACAAAACCTATTCAAGTTGCTAGCTCTTCTAAGAACCTAATTACTCAGAGACAGGCAAAATCAGGAACTCAAGGTAACTCTCCTATAATGACAGAGGTAAAGGTGGTCTCAGGGTAAAGTTGCTACACCTTGAGTTTGACCTGGACATTAAAGACTAGAATATTGGTGAGACTATATCTACTGTAGCTACTTAAATCAAAGCATATGTATTTTTGTTAATCCTGTGTTGCCTTTATTTACCACATGCTGATTTGGATTTCAAAGTAGTTTTTGAATGCATAACTTGCCTTTTTTTTAAGAAGAAATCCTCATTTATAAAACATTTTGAAAAATAACAGCATATTAGGTGCTGTGGCAATGTGAAAGCCATACTTGCAGCATATACCTAAAACTTTTGTATCCCTTTGACATCTCCAAAGTCTATATTCAGATATTCAGTCCTGAAAAACAGACTAAATTTAAGAAGCAAACTCTCTTAATCACAGATGATGGAGGTATAAGGAAACTCAACATCAATGTATACATTGACGTGCTCCTACTTTTCCTTACTACAGACAAGGCTTCAGGTTCCAAAAGTGTTTTGGACTCTGAACTCCGTGTAGAAGAGCACAATTCACAACAGACAGAAAGAAAACATTAATTCTTTGTATCACATGGAACTATTTCTGTTCCAAACCCCTGCCAAAGACCAGGGCAGGCCAAAAGAAAGGTGTCAGATGGCTTTTGATCAAAGCAGAAGGTGGCACAGACACTACCTATACTATTTACTCTCATCTCCAGCTTAAGGTGAGATGTTGGTCTGAAACAAAGCCCAGCCTGTCCTGACAGACCTACCCTAAGTGAAGAGAGAGAAATCAAGACCCTCATTTTTTTGCGCACTTTGCAATATACTGGATCAAAATCCAGTACAGTACAAAGGGATCAAGCACATCAGGCCTGGCACTGTGATAGACCTACTCAGTCCTCCCTGAATGCATAGGGCAGACAGCAAAGCATGGTGCAGAGACACTGCAGTGATCTTGCAGTGAAACCTGCACACAACATCTCACCGGTCTCATCTACAACTAGTTTTCTTTCTAGTGTTGTTCCAATCCTGCACTGGTCTCTATATGGTTAGGACACTGGGTGAGCTACGACTTATATATGCAGCAGATCTTCCTAATGTACTATAAATAATGCTATCCAACACTTGAAAAGAGAGTATTGCTTTCTCAACGCTTTTAAATTCCTAGTTTCTTTTAGAAACAAACTGTCAGAAATTTTCGGTGCACCTTTTGATTTCTATAGACCTTCCTCAGTCTCTATTACCTTCGCAATCCATATCTTTAAACTTCTTCACCAAATTATTAAAGCCCACAAATGCCAGGTGTGATCCTGTTTGTACAGTACAGGATGCTGTTCAAAAATGTTGTGAGAGGCAGTTAGCTGCCACCACCCACAGCAGTGGTTGCAACCATCTGTAATCACTTCACTAGCATCAGAATGATTTTTCTTCTCAGCCACAAGCCTGAGGGAGAACTGGCATACTTTCCTGCCGGAGTAGATGAAACATCGTATCTTTTCTATACTGGCAGCACAAGGATGACCATTTACAGAAGTAAAGGCATAAATTACAGTGGAAATGAGTCACCAGTATGTGGGGAAATAGAATCTCCTACATCCAAATACCCCCAAACTACAAAGGTCAGGGAGCACTGTATCTTAAAACAATAATGAACATTCACAAGGAAGTCCATTTGGTAAGGAAAGTTGATGCCAGTCTGTCAACTAGAAATGGAGGAAGAAAATAGGTATCCAGATTAAGAGGTCACAGAAATGAAATTTGTAACAGTACTTTGATACATGTAGCAATACATTTGAACACTTGCATATAAAAAAATCACATCAATTTCTTCTTTGATAGCAGAAGGCATGCTTATTTCTTTCATGCTGCTTATGCTGAGTGATTAAGGTTTTCAAATCAAGGTAAAGCACAGTGACAAATATTCAGAAAAAAAATCAGAATATTCATAAGTAGTATTTTCACAATGTCACGGCAGTAGAACTTCCCATATGAACTCTCGTATTCTCTATGTAGATACAGAATAAAGGCATCTGAACTCCTGAAACACAGGCAGAAACCTAGAAAAGTATTTTCTACAGGAGCGGTATTAATGTATATGTAAGAATTAATTCCACATAATTACATAATTAGTTAGGTTGGAAAAGACCTCTGAGACCATCTAGGGCAACCAAATACCAAACACCACCATGTCAACTAAACCATAGAACTAAGTGCCACGTCCAGTCGTTTTGTGAACACTTTCAGGGATGGTGTCACCAGCTCTTCTCTGGGCAGGCCGTTCCAATGTCTAACAGCTTTTTCTATGGAGAAATTCTTCCTGATGTCCAGCCTGAACCTCTCCTGGTGCAACTTGAGGCTCATTCCTCTAGTCGTGTCACCGGTCGCCTAAGACAGGAGGCCGACCCCTGGATACCCATTTCTGTCAGGCAGTTGTAGAGGGACAAGGTGTCCCCCGAGCCTCCTTTTCTCCAGGATGAACACCCCCGGCTCTATCACCTGCTCCTCACAGGACTTGTGCTCCAGACCCTGCCCCAACTCCACTGCCCTTCTCTAGACTCTAGGTTTTACAATCTTATGCAGAAGCGTTCCGAATTACCAAGAAGAGCAAATAATTGCTGCCTATCCATGTAGTACAGGCTGCGCTCTGACACCCTCCAGTAAGTGGCTTTACGGTTTTTCTGGCATTAGAGCACCAAAAACCCGCACGTGTTTCCCGATGCGCGGCACTTTCCTTCCCGCTCCTGTTCAGCCGCTATAATTTTTTATCAGCCGCCTTCCAGCCGCCCCGCCGGCTGCGGACAGTGGCGCAGTGCACGGCCGCCCCAGGCCCGCCCGCCGCCGCCCCGGCGCGTACCTGCGCGGCTCTCGTACTTGGGCACCCGGTAGTACTTGTTGCCAAACTGGTCGGTACCCACCAGCTCCTTGTCAGGGCCCACGAACCGCAGCCGCAGAGCGCGGAGAGCCTGCCAGGCGCGGCTCATGCCGGGATCGCGACGGGAACACGAACACGGGGACAGGGACACGGGGACACGGGGATACAGGGACGGACACCGGGACACTGCCCCGCCGCCTCGCGCCAGCCGGGGCGCAGCGCCTGTGGGGGCGGGCCGCGCCAGCAACGCCGCTTGCCATTGGCGCGGGCCGGCCCTCCCCGAGCCAATCCCCGCCGCGCCTGCCGTAAGATGGCGGCGCGGCGCGGCGCGGGCCGGGCGCTCCCGCCATGTTGGGGCTCATGGCTGCTCGCCAGGCCGGGCTGGACGACCCCGCGCGGCTGCGGCGGGCCGAGCGCACCCGGAGGTACCGGGGCCGGGGCGGGTGTCCCTAAGCGGGGAGGCCCCGCAGCGGCAGCCCCTGGCTCCGCCCTGCCGCGCTGGGGCGGCCCGGGGCGGGGTGAGGGGCCGCGCCGCCGCAGCCCCGCTGTACGCGGGGGCCGGGGCGCGGAGCCGCAGTAGCCTTGGTGTTTGTGTGCGGTGAGCCCAGCCCTGGGCGGAGCGTGCACAGCGCGATCTGCTGTGCCTCGCTCCCTGCACCTCGGAGTTGCAGCCCTCGCTGTCGGCGCGGTTCCTCCAGGGGGTTCCATCTGCGTGCGGCTGTGCTCCGCTTCTGAGCACACGGGTGTTCGTGATTCTCCTGTGCCCTCGTCTGCTCGTCCTTCCTTCTCCCAAACCCGGCCTTTTTGGCAGGTTGAAAAAGAATCAGATGCAGGGACTTTTAAACAATTTTTTGTGGGAGTAGGTGGTAGCACAGACGGATTTGTTAATATTCCTGCTAAAGGTTATAATGTGCTATTTGTTCAATACCAGGGAGTCTACTTTGCAGATGTATTTCAAGATAAATCAAATAAAGCCTACCTTAGTTCAGTTACTCACACAACTTCTCCATCTATTTTGGTGATTTATGGCTTGATGATGCTGTATCATTGTAAAACAAATATTTAAAATTGAAATTAATTTTGGTAGCTCAGGAAGCTTGTTTCTGGGTGTATTTTGACAACACAGTTATGTCCCTCTGTGCCCTCAGCTCTCATGTTGCGTTCAGTGTTAAGAACGGTAACACACTGGGTGGACTTTACCTTACTTGGACAATTACCTGCTTAGCATTTCCCATCTGAAACTCTTTGACTTTAAAATAAAAAATCTGTAGTCTTAAGTGGATTTTATTTATTGCTGCATTTTGAAGTCATATGTTTTAACCCATTTCTACAGGGTGATTTCTTGCTTCCTGAAATTCCATCTGGAGCTCAAAGGTTTTAAATTGGGCGTCTTGTGTATGTGAGAATTCTTATTCTAAGTGAATTCTCACGTAATTATATTTCACATAGTTTAAGAGAGCCTAAAGGATTTGCTGCTTTTACAGCATGTCTACAGGCCCTATGATGTTGGGGGGCCTGCCTGTAGCAGCCTAAGGTGCTCACATCAGGATTTTTTCCTTGAGCTGAAGATAAGTAGGGGTACTCTTCCTCGCAGTGTTTTGGTTACCTACTTAGTTATGATCATGTTGCAAGGCTAAATTTTATATCGGGTAGTATGATTTAATGAAGCAGAGTATCTCTTTTTTGATTATGCAATATTAACGTATTCAAAAAGCTGAGAATTGCAGGTTCGAAAATGTTGTCATGGAAGCTTCATCATTGGGAGTCGCCTAGTTTTTATTTAGTATTGTAGAATATGTAGCATATAAACTTCGTGTCATTAAAGGAAATACTGTAAACTTGGTAAACTAAATTACTTTGTCCACTAGGTGTCTGTAGTTCCAAGCAGGATGAAGCCTGAAAGGATGATACATAATGAAGCTTCAAAGTAGCCAATATCTGTGGTGATTACAAGCTTCTTAATACTTATTTTTCTTAGTGTTTTCAAATTACATTCCAGGTTTTGTTTAATATGTTGACCAAACCTTGCCTTCCAAACAACAAGTATTTTTTTCTGCCAACTTCACAGGATTTATTTCTATCTCTGTATTATGTAGTTTTGCAAAAAAAATGGCAAGCTAAATGCATGAAAGAGCATGAAACTAGGTTTCAGCTGTTCAGATCTACATAATAACACTTAATGATTCTGTTCCTGTTTTTCATCTCTCTTTTTTTTTTTTTTTTTTTTTTTTTTTTTTTTTTGTGGGTAGGGTTTTAAGTTTGGAATTAAATAAAGATAGAGATGTGGAAAGAATACATGGAAGTGGTATCAACACCCTTGACATAGAGCCTGTTGAGGGAAGATAGTAAGTATATACTTCAGTTGGTACAAATGTACATAAGTAATTCACTGTGTTTTGGTTCTATGGATTTGTTGTCTTGTTGAACACGCTCATTACATTGAGCATATTGAGATTATGAGTGTTTTAACTTCTGTGCTTCATTGACACTTTCAGCATGTTATCTGGTGGATCGGACGGTGTTATTGTACTTTATGACCTTGAAAATTTGAGCAGGAAACCAAGTTACACATGTAAAGCATTTTTTTCGGTTGGAAGGTAAGTACTCTGAAAGTCTTTTAAAAGTACATGATATAGCTCTTGTGTGGCTAGAATTAAACTTGCAAATTAATGTCTGTTCTTATTTCTAGGATAAAGACTGTAGAAAATACTGCCAGAAATCTTAGAAAGCTAGTAGCAGAGCTAATTGTTTTATGCTTGATTTGTGTACTCTAATAGTTACCATATCTGTAAAGTGACTCTGGTATTGTTTGAGCAAATCTATAGCAGTTTCAAAAGTTAAAATTAAGGATATTAGTTGTATCAGTTCACATGGAAACTAAAGTTAGACAGTCTTATGTTGCTGTAGACACCACAAAAAGAAGGCAGACCTAGTATCCTAACCTTAAATTTCAGCACTAGAAAAAGAAGACAGGAAAAAAAAAAAAAGCGCAGACCTTTCTTTAACTCATAATTTCTGACTGTGAGTTTTCATAATGTTTCATTTTTAAATTTGGTGCCTCTATGCCAGTGACTGAGAAAGGAGTTTTGGTACTGCTGTAGAAATAGTCCCTGTATTCCCCAAATATAAATAATACATATACTTGAGTAAATGCACTTTTAAGCAGGATTATTGTGCAATTATTTGCATAATCCTTTTCAGCTGTTTGGAAAAAAAAATCTAATCCTATTTGCAGTTGTTTGTTTTATTTCCCCTCTCTCTGTTTCCAGCTTTACTAGTAGCTATTTTTAGTTCATCAGGTGTACAGCAGGTACAGAAGTGATTTGTACAAAACTTCTTAAGAACGTGTTCGAATGAAGACAGATGTGCTACTGAAAAATGGGATGTGTCTTTCTAAAGAACAGGGTACTACCGTGCTGTATGTAATCTTTATAAAGAGTCTAAACCTTTATTGATTTGTCAGGCTGTCCCTGCAGGCAATACAAATTTTTCCATTATAGACATTAAGCCTTCTAGCAAAAGCTGTTTTTTCTTTATTTGGATATAGGCTTGTGTAGTAGGCTAGAACTTCACCTAAGACTCACAGTAAGAGATACTCTAATTCATAATAGATTGGTATCTGCATTTTCCCCTTATTTTTCCAAGTCTACAAATTATTTGAGATCTAAGAGTCAGAGACTTCATGAGTCAGCTATACAAGAACAGAACAGATTTGTAACAATAAAAGGCCTTAACAATATCTTGGATCATAGGAAAGAAAAAGGCTAACAGAACATAGCTAATAGAACAAGTGTTGAAGGCTGGGCTTCTTGCACAAAATTATTTTAAATTGTAACTAAGAACATATAATGACTATAAGGCTCCAAATCTCAAAACTGAAATTAATTCTGAAACAGATGCAGCAAATTGACAAAATTCTTGTGAAGAAGGCAGAGTGAAAAAGCTATCAAATCTGTGCTAAAGTCAGGCTATTGTTAACTTCAGTTAGGTCAGTAGAAATACTCCATCCTTGAAGATTCTGTTTAGGAGGATGGTTAGTTGGTTATCTCTTTCTTGAGTAGGTGTTAATTTGCATAGATGTGTCTTTTATTTCTTGCCACTCAAGGTATAAATTTTATTAGTAGAATTTGATTTTGTGTGACACTGCTCTAAATGACAGGCTTGTGATGTTATTGCTTAAATAACCCTGGTAGGTTTCTTGCCACAATTATTTATTCGTAGTATTCATGAAGCTTCCTAGTATGTTTTAAATACTTACTAGCTAATTAGCTACAGTTAATATATATCTTCAGATATTAGGAATATTATTCAGAGTTACTGACTTAAGTGAATTTATACCGCAGAAACTCTTGCCTATGCTCTGTCTAGCTCTTTGAAGCATATAGTACTGACATCTTGTGAAAGTTTGCCTGTGTTCCAAGATTGCACAGCAGAACACAGGTCTGGTATCCAAATTGCTTAAAGAATATCCTGCTAAAGGCCTTTTAAAGCTGTTTCCTAATACATCCTGAACTGGGCTTGCTGATGATCCAGTCGTATAGAACCACAAAAGAGGTAATTCCTGGTAGTAGACTGTGATTTACCCGAGGGCCACTGCTGCAAATACAAAAATAAAACTTTTCCTGTTTCCTGGGAGTCTGCACAATGAGCTTTATCTGGTTTCATATGATTCATGCTGACCTGTGACAAAAAAATGGCATTTGAGGGTAAACAAACAGTACCTATTTCTAGATAAAATGCTTATCTTTAAGGTAGTCTCTACTACTCAAAATATGTCTAGGAAGAATGAATGACAGTGACCTATTATCCATAGAATTAATTCTGTATTTGTCTTTGGTAGAAAATGCTGGGATAATTTGATTAATGGGTGAAAATACTTCATATGGAATGAACTGGGAACTGTGTACATCCTGAGACATTAAACTAGGCTGAACGGCATATAGCCACTACTAAGCTTAGCCAGATCAAAGGTAATTTCTGCGGAGCTGCTCAAGAGTTCGTTAGTTCATTCCTCAGCCCTGTGGATTATGGGATAATTGATTTTCTCTTGCAGAGTTGATTACAGTCTGGTATTGTACACTTATAGTTAATGAACCTAGATAATTAGTTCCATGGGTTTAGATTTTTCTGCACATTGCGTAGAAATGCCTCTCCAGGCGTAAGCTCACTCTGAGTCAAGCTTGATTTCCTGGCTCTGCAGGTACTGAAGATTTTTAGCTTGCCATGGTTTAACTCCAGCTGGCAACTAAATTCTGCAGAGGTGCTTGCTCACCCCCTCTACCAGTGGGATCAGGGCGAGAACTGGAAGGGTAAAATCTGGAAAACTCCTGGGCTGAGATAGGTTTATAGAGAAAGCAAAAGCTGCAAACACAAGCAGACCAAGAAATGAATTCACTTCTTCAGCCATCTCCAGGAAAGCAGAGCCCCATCATGCATAATGGTTGCTTGGGAAGACAAATGCCATCATTCCAAATGTGTCTCTTCCTCTTTTCTTGTTGCCTTCAGCTTTATATACTGAGCTTGATGTCACATGTTCTGGAATATCTCTTTGGTCAGCTGGGGTCACCTGTCCTGGCTATGTCTCCTCCCAGCCTCCCAGGCACTCTCAATCCCCTCATCAACATGTCAGTATGAAAGCAGAAAAGGCCTTAGCTCCCTGTAAACCCTGCTCAGCAGAAACAAAAGCATCTCTATGTTACTAACTCTGTTCATCACAAATCCAAAACGTCTCCCATGCTAGGCACTGTGAAAAAAATTGATTCTACTCCAGCCAAAACTAGCACACCTCCCTCAAAAATAGAGGCATAAAATTTGTTCACTTTTAGCACTTTTAGTGCCAGAGTAACATGCCATTCTAGGATATGCCTCAGAGTTGGAGAAGCAATGCAGAAGTCATTAAACTAAGCTCAAAAGTTGCTCAGTATCTCTTGCTTCGTATTGTCAGTGCTGGCTTCAGGCTAACTCTCCTTAAAAGTGTCTTTTTTGCTTTTTAGCAACCCAAGTGAGCAGAAAGATTTATTAGCTCAGATGAAATCAGAACTATAGATGTCCTGTGAAAAGGGAAGGTTTCCTCAACCCCTAGTGTTGGATTAGTCTGTCACTGCCCTGGGAAAGCTGAGACCTTTGTGTCCAGCCAGCCCTTCAGCGTCCTGTTTTAGGGACCCTTCACTGAACAGTCCTGCTGGATCAGAGGATGGTTCAACTGACATGTTCAAGGACACACACCAACAGCATAAGAGACCCCCTCAGTGGGGTTTCCTGCTTTATCCAAGTATATTACCTACTTCCAGTAAAGGCCAGTGTCCATGAAGGACTAACTCAAACTATGGAATAACAGTCTTTATTAATAAAAGAAAATTGTGACAGTTTAAGGTTTGAGGCCTGCCAGTGATTGTTTCTCACTGTAGAAACACGTTCAGACCAATATACAGACAAGATTTAATCCCTGGTAAAACGCATATAGAGTAAGATTATTATTAACAGGCATTCCTTTGGGGAAGAAGACAGGTCACTTTGTGGACTGATCCCAGAAGTTACGATGGAATCTTCCCAACTTCACAATTTTTGACTTACTTCTATACTGTTCCATATGTCTAGTTGGAGCTTGAGGTATTACACCTTTATGACTAAATGGTGTAAAATTCTCTCCCTTTGCTCTTAAAGATACAGTCAATGAAGTGCAGTGCTCAGTGAGGGGCAGTCTTGCCTGGAGGTGGGTAACTTGAGGTTAGCTCAGTTGTTTAGATCATGGTGCTAGTAATGCCAGGGTTGTGGATTTGGTTCCTATATGGGCCATTCACTTAAGAGTTGGACTTGATCATCCTTGTGTCTGCCTTCCAACTGAGAATGTTCTGTGATTCTGGACTTTGGGATGGAGGTCTGTGTTAAATGATAATGAACCAAGTTCATCCAAGGAGAGTGATTTCACCACAGTTGCTGGTTCAACAGAAAGACATCTTCTGTCTCCCTTGGGGGACAGGTGCTATGTGGTTTATCAGATAAAAAGTACCCCTCCCTGCAGGGATTTCAACAGTGCCTGACCATGGTGTCTTGGCTCCACCCCCCATTTCATCCCCCTTAGCAGGTGCTTGAGGTTGCAGGCTGTTTGTATTGGCAGTCTTTGTGGAATAGCTTTCAGTCATGCTGACCACATTCCATCCAGAAGAAGCAACTGCACTTCACCCTCTAATTCCCATATCATTATAATTTCTGTTAGGATGTGAATATAGCTTCTCAGTTTCCTCCCATTGCACCCGCAGCCATCTTCCCACATAATCCACCTATGACTAGTCACTCGAACGTCACAATATCCAAATAGAATTTAAGAATGTTTCACACTTTATTATACAGTGCAGATCATCTAATACATTTCTAGTGTGTGGTTATCTGGTATTATTGAGGGTAGCCAATAGGCTAATTGTTTCATAATTATCCAAACCTTAACATACAATGTGATTATTAGATTACCATCGACAACGCAACAACAGGGTGAAGACTCTGTTGAGAATTCTGGTAGCTTTTAGTGACCATCCAAATTCACATACTCCATCATGTGATTTATTTCTTCAATATCATGATGGACAGTAAACAAAGTCTGTTGTTCATTTTTTTTGCATTTGTTTTCAACAGGCAGCTCAGGTCTTCATGGTAGAACAGTTTCTTTAGCAGCATGAGGTTCATACCAATGGGAGTAGGCTGCAATCTTGAATCAGAGTATAATTAGATTCTAGTATTTTAATAGGATACAGTAGGAGCTGAATAATTTAAATAGCATTCCATAATGTTGGCAAAGTTATAGCACAAATATGAGAGTGATTACTTGTGTCTATGGCAATGTTGTCCACAAATATAAAATCACAAAAGGGTCTCATAAAAGCTCATCCTTTACTAATATACACAGTTTCCAAGTTTTCATTAAGATGAATCTCAAAATGAGAAATATTTTGCTCAGTGTCATGACAAATGCCTCGGGTTTTAGTGTTGTTATGTTCACAAACTTATCCTTGTTGCCCTCATGCAATGTGCATATTGGCATCAGTAGTCTATTTATTTCCATCTTTTCAGGCCCATACTCTATGCTCCAGAGGATGAGTATAGTTCTGTTGTGGTTTAATCCTAATGCAATGATTGGGTATATATCATACAGTGAAGCATTGCGTATTGTAAACACAAAAGCAGTTGCTGTGCTGCTGATGGGATCATAGGTAAAATTGACTAAGTACCAGCAGAACTGGAATTTCTTTGAAATTCATTTGTATTATCCCAAATTACCTCTCAAATTTCAATGAGTAATAGTTTCTTCGCCTTCCCTTGTGATTGTAGCTGTCATCAGTGCATCCACAGCTGAGCTTGTATAGAAGTCAGTGGTAAAGAAACATTGGCTTGTGCTATGCTAAGTGTGTCTGTGATCAATTGATGGTCTTTCATCAACACCTTCCCACTGAAGTCATATATCCATCTGACACCATTGATTAGTTCCAAAAGCAAAGATCATCAGAATGTTTCAGTTTATTTAAGTCACTATTTATTGTGACTAGTTTTGTTCCTTAGTAAGTCAGAGTCTTGCTGTTTAGAACTCCCCATCCTGTTCCCAGGATACCAGTCACATCCTTCCTGGTTTGCCTGGAGGAAGTGAGGGTTTGTTTATGCAGCCATGCTGTCCATCATGCATAAGAGGTTTTCAGGAGCAGTGAGCGAGCTGATTGGATTGTGGGAACATTATTCAGCATCAAGAGTTCAACTTATTTGAGAGACTGTGTTGAGTTAAATAACATTTACTGTTGACCTATATTCTTGACTAAGGAGGAACCAATGTTGTAAGTGTGAGGAGGCAGTTTGATAGACGGCTGAGGCTGAGTTGTTAAAAATGGCACTTCAGCACTTTTGAATTGAAGGCCCTCTTTCAGTTGAGAATTTAGGTCTGTTCAAAGACAAATCACAACTGTTGGATGGGATATTTTAAAGGTATGCCAGCACTCATGTTTAGGAGAGTAAGTATGTATGGTTTTCTCCCTTCAGCATAGTTCACTACACTTTGTTTACAACAGTGTGTGAGACTGTTGCTTTGAATTCAGCGTCCTATAGAGATGATGTCTTTTAATTCCCTTCAGAGGTGAAGGGTGTTGATTTTCTTTCTCCTTTGTGATGATCCACTTCTGCCTTTAAAAGGTAGTTATGCAGTGCTGCTGTAGACAGATTTAGGCCAGGCATAGGTACACTGAGAGGTGCATACCCTTCTATACATGGCAATACTTAAAATCTACATCTCTGTTTGCATAATGATACCCCTGCAATAGTTACTGCTTGTGGAGGCCAGGACATTTGATAGAACAATGCAAAGATAAGAGCTAAAATAATGAAATCTCATGAACCCTTTTCTAGCTGCAGTTTTGTCTTAAGTACTGCATGCATTTAGCTGGGATGGAGTTCATTTTCTTTGTGGTAGTTTGTAGTACATTTTGGGCTTGTAACCAGTCTTGATAGCACACTCATGTTTTAGTGAGGGCGGAACAGTGCTTGATAGTGTCAAGCCATTCACCATTCGTCACTGCCTCTTCAGGGGGTGGACGGTTCCTCAGGGTATGAGGAAACAGCTGCAACACCTGATCCACATTGACCAGAGACATACTGATATTCCATACTGTAAAATGTAATGTGCTGCAGTCTAAGCCTATGGTAAGGGGTTACTTTTGCATCACTTCACTGACTGGAGATTTGTTTTGTTTGTTTGTTGGTTTCCTTGATTTATAGGGTTTGTTTTGATTTGTTCCCTTTCACTTACTAAATTTATCTCAATTCCAACTTTTCACACCTTCATCATTTGTATGCTCTCCCTCATCCCATTGCAGAGGGTAGAGTAAGCAAGCAGCTGGTTTTGGGCCCCTGAAGCTGGATCCATGTGCATCCAGCTCAGATATGAGTCATTTACCAGGTATTTGAATGACATATATTAATCAGAGCCTGGTCAGTTGAGTCTGTATCCTGGAGCTGTCTATATTGGCTCTGCTGTCTGTTGTTTCTGCCACAGTTAATTATTAATTCTGTTACAGTCTCTAAATATCCACAGTTCAGTTGAAAGTTTCCTATTGTTCTTTCTCTTTGATTTTTGAATGCAAATATAAATGACTCTCAGTAACGTAGCCTGCTGCTCTCTGGTGACTTTGTCAGACAAGGAATTGCCAATAACTATGTAGCTGTAATTATTCATTAATACTAATGAATTTTTTTTACTGTATATGTGATTGTATTTTTCAGAGAATCCATTTCTAAGAAGCATAAATGGTTTGTAGCATTAGGCCATCACATTTAACATAAGATCTGTAAACATTGTAACTTAAATATTTCAAAAGACAGTTTTTATGATTTATGAGTGTCTTGAGATATGCTACAGTTACCATATTTTTAAAAGGTAATGATCTGTAGTTTCTTGAAATGAAGACTCTTCAAAGTAATGAGTATTAGTTGAATGAAAATCAAGCCAGCAAAAATACAGTTCTTGTAAACCTCAGGACAAATTAAGAAAAATGTTTACATTTTCAACTCATCATCAAATACCAAGACAACTACAAGTTGGAATATTTTCATTGATTTTAGGAGTCATCCTGATGTACATAAATTCAGTGTGGAGACAGTCCAGTGGTATCCTCATGACACTGGCATATTTACATCGAGCTCATTTGATAAAACCTTGAAAATATGGGATACAAACACTTTACAAGTAAGTGAGTTTCTACAGATTGCGACCTTCTTTGTGTATGTTACTTATTGTGTATCTGAAGTTCTCACACAGGTGAAGAGGACTATGCATCTGGAAGATGATAACAGCCACCTGTTAGAACTGTGGGTGCAGGAGCAGGGTGGTGGCATGGTGGTCCAGGCATTTGTGTACATCTTGGTGTGTACCTGCCCATTTCTGAAGACCTGAATGTCTTCAACTGCGGGAGAGCTTGGAACCCTTGGGACAGTTCTTTCTGCTTTTGCTGTGAACAAGAATACAGCTAGTTGAATTTTTGCTGGGTAAACTTGTCCATCAGGGTCTAGTCTGCAGTTCATTCTTGGAGATTGTTGAGTCTAATGGCAGTAGCTACTTATTTTTAATAACCAGTTTCTAATAACCAGCACTTTTGAAGGACTGATAGTCTTGGCATACAGGATCCAGGTCCAGATTTCTGCTGTTATAAGCATTATAAACACCATTGCTAAAAATCAGTAGAGAATGAGAGAAACTATTAAAATCATGCTAACCAGTGTGACTGACATAATTAAGGTAAACAGATTATTTAGGAATTTATGTTGCTTTGATTCAGTAATCATCACAACTTGTGTTGGACTGTGAATTCATGACTGCTGTTTGTCCTGTTCCCTATGAACATTTACATTGATTCATAATATCATTGATGCGTAAATGTTCATAGGGATCCAGAATTTACATTGATACTATTTGACTGCTGTTTCACAGATGGTGAAATAATTTTTTGAAAAGAGGTCTGTCATTCTAGGGCCTTAATAGGGAACAATCTATAACTTGTTTGGTTTGGGGTTTTTTAGTGTGGGGTTTTTTTTGTTTGTTTTTGTTTTTTTTTTTTTAATATAAGCTATGTTTGCAGTTGCTAAATCTTCTCATAAACAATTAGTGTTCCAGGTAGTTAGATAGTTTTGTGACCGTCTCTTGAAAGACAATTTCAATTCATGCTTCTCATTTGTCAGTTTTCTTGGTCTGTCTTTTGGGTCATCTCTGAGCTCTGGTGCTGTTCTGCTGGTGGAAACAGGCTTACTCTGTGATATTTGTGTCATTAGGCTTCTAACCAGGCGAGTTATTATTACTATGTAAATAGTAATATTTGTATTACTCTTACTTGTAGCTGTTACTTGAAAAATAATGGTGAGCATCTACATTCTGTTAATATACTTGCATTATAATTAATATTTTTATTATCAGCCTGCAGATATATTTCACTTTGAAGGGACAGTCTATAGCCATCACATGTCTCCAGTTGCTACAAAGCATTGCTTAATAGCAGGTATGTATCTGTTTTTGAGAAACAGATAGATATATATAGATAAGGATTATTATAAAAATAAGCAAGTAATATTTCAATTGGGCTTTTTCCCCTATTCTGTCTTATTTTTACATAAATAAGTCTTGATAAGATGTAGGTTTACTGGTCCATTAAAACACTGTCCATTAGTTGGATGATGTTATTGAGGGTATTATATCTGTTCTTCTGAAATAATGCATCAATCTGTTCTCCTTACTGATAAAATTCTTAGCTGTAATTAGATTCTTTTATTATGTAAGTTATAATTTAAAAGTTATTAGATCCAAATATAGTAAATTGTGTAAATAGATCTGTGTACTGCTTACATGTGCACAATTTAACTATGTTCAGCAAAAAAAATGTTTGAGGAGGTATTTTTAAGTTTCCCAAGTACGATGCTGTTTACTTCCAGTTTCTAAATTTTGTTTGTTACGTGGTAAATTTGTTTGGACTAAAAATGTAAATCTATTAACAGAATCATTAAGCATGAAGCATCATATTAATAGAAGCATTGCTCTGACTGAATGAGCAGTTCTGCAGCTAGCATTTCTTCTATTTTTTTTTTTTTGTCATTGCTAAGATTTTTTGTTGTTCTTTCAGATGCTGGGGGGTTTTTTAGCTGTCTTTGTTTCTCTTGTTACAGTTGGTACCAAAAGCCCCAAAGTACAGCTCTGTGACTTGAAGTCTGGATCCAGTTCTCACATTCTGCAGGGTACTTTTTTAGTCTGAAACATAAATGTTAAACAATAACTACTTTGAGTAAAAACAAGTCCTGTTAAGAAACACTGTATACAATGTATTCTTTGTCAGTAACATGACTAATTTATTTGTAGCCAGTTGTGAAAGTTACACAGTGGCAAGAGGTTCTTCTGGGTGTTTTTCTACAGCTAAATGAATTGCAGAATACAAACATTAATCAATGGGCAGTTACTACCAATGTTTGGGTATTTTCATACTCTAATCAATACTGATTACTGTTTATGACATGGTTAAATGTAGTCATTGGTTTGGGGGGGGTTATGGAGTGGTCAACAAGTGATGTTTTACTTGGTCTTTAAAAAAGAAGACTAAGTAAAACAAGAGAAACTCCCCACCACCCCCCAGAAAAGAAACCCCCAGAAAAGAAACCAAAACAAAAAGAAAATTTCACTGCTTTTAAGAAAGTATCCCATAGAGGTATTTGAATGGATTTGTTTAGAAGTTTCTGATTTCTGTAGAACAAGCTTTCTGTAGAAGGATATTACCAAATCCTTTGCATTTTCCTAGTTCAGGTAAATGTAAGGTTTTATTGTTCCATAATCCATTATTTTTAGCACTCAATGAGAATTTGCCTTTGGTGGCCCTTTTCTAATGTGTACTTTCTGGAGTGTCAGTATATATACACATGCTCAAGAGAAGGCAATCATGATGCAAATCTTCATGCTTCTACTGTAGAGAAGCATTAACTCAGACACAGCAATGTGCAAATGCAGCTTTATTTCTTCACTAGCCAGCTAAATCTCAAAGGAGCCTAGGTGATCTTTTTGTGATGCAGAGATTAGGCCATTAAACTTCAACAAACTGAATTGGCTACAACAGGCATATCATGTTTTGTTCCTAGAACCAAGAGCTCCAGACAGGGCAGGGACAAAAACTGTTCTCTAAAGATCCTGTTTGATTTCACTGGGGCTTCTTAATGTTGGCACAAGAATTAATGCTTTCCAGGCACAAGCTCTGTTGTGTCTTTGTACGCAACCTGTAATAGCCTGTTACCTCAAGCACAATATTGGAGGAATAAATGGAAGGAGAATATGTTATTGATTAGGCATAATCTAGTAATTCTTTGTAGAACTGAAGCAATCAGTTGTGTCATATGGTCAATCAGACCATATGTATAAATATTTTCACACAGGCTAGCTCTAGCAGCTGAAATGGAGGTATATGCATGGCTGTAGTTTAATTATTGGATCCAAATAAATCTGTCTGCTCTGAGCGTTCTTGGTGTATCCTGTAGTACCTGTATCTTGGAGGTTTTTCCTATTATCCTGATCATCACAGTGCTTTGATTAATTCAGGTAATGGGAAAGCACCTACTAGAAGATGCACCAGAGACAAGGTGGTTCACACCACCTCTAAACTGTGTTAGCAGAAATGTATTTTATGTTTTAGTTTATTTTTCAGCAATATGTTTCTGTTATGGCATGAGACATCATGGAGTCCAGCTCTTAACCCAGCATTGCCAAATTCACCACTGAATTATGTCTCTAAGTGGCACGTCTATACATCTTCTGTATATCTCCATGGGTAATGGCTCAACCACTGCCCTGGTCAACCTGTTCCTACCAGAATTTTCTTTGGAAAGTATGGAAATTATTTCTAATAATCAAAATCTCCACTGGTGCAACTTGAGGCCACTTCCTCTCCTGTTGTATGTTGCTTGGGAGACTGACCCCCACCAGGCTACAGCTTTTTTCAGGTGGTTTTAGAGAGCTGTAAGGTCCCCTCAAATCTCCTTTTCTTCAGACTGAAAACCCCCAGCTCCCTCAGCTGTTCCTTGCAGGACCTGTGTTCAACACCCTTCACTAACTTCATTGATACTTTAATAGTTAAGGGAAAAAGTACTTCAAATTCAGGACAAAACTCTTAGAGGATAAAATGAGTAAAGCTTTAATTGTAAGGTAGATACAATTTAAATTTAACTTTATTAAAGTATTTCAAGAAAAATAAATGGAAAATTCCTTTCATGTATGAAAATACCAGTGCTGCACAAAAAGCTGTGACTGAGCTGTAATGTATTTTGCATAGGTAAAACCATCTTTATTATCAAAAATTATACATATGAAATACTGTGTGCATCACTTTCTGCTCACTGCAGTCCCTCTCAAGGAAAAAGGAGAAATAATTTCTGTTCCAAAATAATAGTTTCACAAAATTTAAATTGATGTTACAATTCAAATTATTATTCTGGCTTGGTGAATCCTGTACAACTAAATATTTGCTTTTACTTTCAATTATTTACACAAAATGGTGTGTATAATAAACCTTTTCATGTAATTCTTAGGTCACAGACAAGAAGTATTGGCAGTGTCTTGGTCCCCACGTCACGAATACGTTTTGGCAACAGGAAGGTAAGGATGTTGCTGAACTGTTAAATGCACTGGAATATTGGTCAGGAAAAATTTTATACATTCTTTAGGCAGACTTTCTTCAATTCAAATGCACTTCTGGAGTTAATTTTCTTCATTGACTTTTACTTGTTTGTAATTTTATAGCTTTTCCCTAGAAAAATGAAACCTGAAGAGCTGTCAACAAATTATGCTTATTTTATACTATGTTTGTACAGAGTTTTGAAACACTAACTGTAACTACTGGTATAAGAAAACAGTAGAATATTAAGGAGATACTTCTTACTGTTTATTAGTGTGTGCATTGCTAATCCATGTTGTAGTAAAGTAAAACATGTCATGCTCAAATTACTATTCTAGTAATGACACTTACTATGTCAAAAAGAATAACTTGGGTAGCTTAGCTAATGTAACTTTCCAAGCAATAGTAATTCAGTGAATATGGATTGTGTGTTAATATTCCTGGGCTTTTTTTTGTTTTCTGTTCAGACATTTTTAATGTAAAAAATCCTCTTGGCTATTCTGTAACTCCTATGTATATTAGCTTTTGCTTATAGTGTGACATTTCTTGCTTTTTAGATGCCATGCGTTTTTTTTTTCTTTTGCAGAGAAGAATAGCTATTTCATTAGTTTAGTGGAATGGCTGTTTTATAAGTTTAGTGAAGTTACCAGATTTGCAAACCTTTGGTTTCTGAAGTCAGGCTTCTGAAGGGCTTATTAAAGTTGGAAAATACTTTAACAGTGTGTTGTTTAGGGTTGCTTTGTTTGTTTGTTTGTGATTTTTTTTGTTGTTTGTCTTGTAGCAAATGAAAAATTGTTTGCTTGTAGACAGCTTCTGCACCATACAATAGATATGTGATATCAAAAGTTCAGATTCTCAGACCACTATTACAGACAATGCTGAAGTCTGTAGCTACAGTTTAGGCAACAGAAGAATTAGCAAGTTTATTCCCAAGCTCTCTGTGTATGCAAGGGTGTTACATTGTAATCAAAGAGACAAGTTTATTGTATTACAGATGAAGATTCACTCTTAGGTCCTCATAGTGTGCCAGCTAAAGTTATTAATACATGTAAATAGAAGTCTGAAATCTACCTTAAAATATTTTTAATGGAATTCTGTTGACTTGAGTGTGCCCACATGATGAATGGTTCAAAATAGTTGCTGGACCAAGGTGAGTGCCAAGTGTTTTGACCAAAGACAGTTCCTGAACTGTAGTGCACTCAATTTCCTTAATTGTAGCAAATCTGTTTTTCCTAGTGCTGATGGTAGAGTAAAATTATGGGATGTGAGGAGAGCTTCTGGATGTCTGAGTACACTTGATCAGTACAATGGAGAAAAGTCCAAAGCATCTTCTGAGACAGGTAATACAAAATATAACTGGTGGTAATTCGTATGTAACTAGAGTCATTCTTATATTTCATTAATATTTTAAATACTAAGACCAGCAAGGGGAGTAGTGATAATCCAGTAGTTATTTAGTACATAACAAAGGCCTTCAGCTTTGTTCAGTTACTTCTGTTACAGAGTTGGTGTTTGTTGTTTGGGACCTTGTTTAGAGGGATTGCCTTAACAATAGTGATGTTTCTATTCTAAATGGCTTTCCTCTAAAAAGGAATATTCTGTTATCTTTTTTGTGAGTGGCAGAACTTATTTATACTGTGGATTAGCCCTTATATAAATATAAAATTGTTTGAAATGAAAAAAATTATTGAGAGGAAGATTTTCTAAAGAAAGCTAGTACTTGGTCAAAAAAGAAGAAATATTGTTTAATGAAAAACAAAATTTGATGTAACTCCAAAGATAACTAGTGTCATTTCATACATTCTTTGAAAAGCATGTTGACTTGTTTGATCACATAATCTTTCTTTTCAACTTTATTTTTGTTAGAAAGGTTCAAGATGATGTTTTAGTTATCTAATATCAATTTTATAGGGTTTTTAATTTATGTAAATGTATATGAACTAAACCAATAGTAGGTAGTAATTGTTATCCAATAAAATCTTTAAAAAGCAGTTCACACTTCTACCTAAAAGTATGTCTAAATTAGGTACTGCAGTATAGTACAGAGTGACCTTATCCTAACTGCTTCAGAGCTGACCAAAAGCTACAGCATGTTGTTGAGGGTGTTGTCCAAATGCCTCTGGAACACTGACAGGCTATGGGCATCAACAGCTGGATGATAGATTGAGCACAACTGGCTCTTGAACTGCGCCCTGAGGAGCACTGCTGGTGGCTGTTAGCTGGCCAGATGCTTTTATAAACAAACATTTAAATTATTTCTAGCTGAATGTTACCATTTAAACAGCACTTCCAGTGCTCCACCTTGAAGTAAAAATGCATATAAAGTAGTAACTCTTATCTAGAAACTTAAGACAGCTCTTTGTCCTGACAGCAAACACTGCTCACAATGGGAGAGTTAATGGTTTATGCTATACAAATGATGGACTTCACCTGCTAACTATTGGTACAGATGATCGGATGCGACTCTGGAATAGCTCCACTGGAGAAAACACCTTAGTAAGTTTTCAAGGAATTTCACTTGCATTTTTACTTTCATTTAATTTTAACAGATTTGTAATTTCTCCAGTTGTCAGTAGAACTTGGATTTCATTTCATAAAGGATGTAGCTGCTCAATTTCAATCACTAGATTTGGTGAACATTTTTTTCCAGGTTTCTTTTCTTCTACTTATTGTAAAGAAAAAGAATATGAAGAAGCCTAATCTACTTAAAGATTGAATATGGTAACTCTAAGTTTATGAATTTGAGAGTATAGCTATAAAAATTTCATACAGTAATAAAAACTTGAATAAGCAGTGACTGTTGGTAGAAAGTTTTGGGTTTTTTGAAACTATTAGTTGCCTGTGTACTATCCATAGAGCAGTTGACCATGCCTGAGAGTTTCACTGGCTGCCTGGCTTTCCTGTAAATCTCTTTTGTGGAATCTCTCCTGTGGAGTTGCCTGGCAGTGTTAAAAATATCTATTCATCCATCTTTTCAGATTTGTGTTGGAATTACACAGCAGCAGGAACAAGGGGTGGGAAATGTATTAAACCTCTACTGCTATTGCAGCCTTTTCAATGGCTTGTTGATTTTTTTGTGCTGAAGGTTCTTGTTTTAATTTTCTGTTCAGTAAAGAAAATAGTTTTCTTTGTTTATTTTGAAAGAAGAACAAACTAGGTAAGTCAGTGTCTGTGGAATTTTACTCAGCTGTAATTATGGTCTGTCATTGCTATCAGGAAAGAAAGAAATTTTGGTATACCTCAGAAATCTTTTAATTCTGCTGCTTAGTTTCAGAACAGAGCAAAAATAATTCTGTATAGATATTTAAATAAAAAGACCTATGTTACCTATATTTGCCAGCTTGTTCCCAGAACCTCATACACAAACATCTTTCTGTCTTCAAATCACCACCACCAAAGTAGAAGATACAGTTTGTTCACTCTCCCATTACCAGTTGGATCACTGGGGTTTTTTTGGGTTTTGTGCCTGTTAGTTCATTGACTTTTTTCATAGACTATTTTACAGTTTTCTAATCTGGTGTGGAATAGCTTGACCCTGCTTTTCTTTTTAAAGTTCAGAGTTCTATTGTCCAGGGTAATGTATTTTCACACAGTGCCCAAAGGTATTGCTTAAAATAATTTTAAGGCATCAGCAAACAATAAATATGTGTACAGGTAATT